GGCATGAACCACTTCGGAGACATGGTAAGACCCCGGTGTCAGCTATAAGTGGCATGTCACACATGCCCCAAGATAAAAACAGTAAAAGTTGAGAGGACTGTAAATAAAAGCTGCTCTATTAAAGTCTGAGGCTAAAAACAAGTTACAATCACAAACCACATCCGGTCTTTGTGTAATTCACATTTTACTGTCTTAACTCAGCTTCTGTCTTTCCACAGACTAACGAGGAGTTCAGGCAGGTCATGAACGGCTACACGCACAAACCAGAGAGGAAGTTCAAGGGATCTCTGTTCATGGAGCCCAACTTCCTGGAAGCCCCACGCTCTGTGGACTGGAGGGAAAATGGCTACGTCACTCCAGTGAAGGACCAGGTAACAACTGCTTTTATGACTCATGTGACAGGATTATGCAAAGGCAATGAGGCAGTACAAGAAAAGCTAGGGCACTGCGTTATCACAGTTTCACCTCTCGATTCTCTAACAGCTAAAAGATGGAGCACAACATTCAATATAATTTTTATAGTTTTTATGCATGCAAAGTGCTGTTCAGAGTCAGTGAACGAATCAGCTCTTATTGTAATGGCTGTTAGCGTTACTGGAGATCCAAAGGCAAGATCTAAACTCAGCTGTTGAAGAAACTTGGTAAACAAGATTACGTAATGTGTGACTGTGAAAAGTTGCATCGTTACAGATTTGCTTATGTGAAGCAACAAAGGTGCTCTGCCGACTGAAAGTAAATGTTTTTCTTAGACAGAAAGATAAGATGGCCACTCGCCGGTTGTTTTTGTTATCTACATGCTGCACACATGCTCCACCTCCTCACTGAGTTTGCATTTTGTTCTCAGCCCCCCTCTGCATACATTACCAGCCTGTAAGCTGAAACCAGCCCGATCAGCTCGCTGTAAACCAGGCCAGGGTGAAGCAAACACTCATGTACACTGGGTAGAAATGCTGGAGTGCAACGTACGACAACTTTTATTTATAGAAGCAAAGAGCTGTTCGGGGAAATAAAGTGGAGCAACAACATAACAATTAATGGATTAATAAACATTTAGTTAAGAGCAAAATGTAAGAATAAAGAGGAGTCCAGCATTAACATGGCAAAGTGGCATCATGCAAACAGCAAAACTACTGTAAGTCTGTCCAGAAGGTGATTCTATAAAATGTGTTTGAGGCAGGATTTAATACAGGAAAGTACCAGCGGGACAAATGCTAAAATAGAAGCTTGTTCAAAGGCAGTGGGTCAGTAAAGCAAAACTGAACTCTAAAACATTGTAGTGTTAAATGTTTAAAATATTTAAGTTTTCATAGAAACCTGTGGAAGCAGGTGCAAATAGATTTAACTGACTCTCTTCTTCAACTCTACATTGTTCAGGGTCACGCAGAAGAGAATAACTCTGTATAACTTTTATCCCCTTCCCTCTCAGGGTCAGTGTGGCTCCTGCTGGGCCTTCAGCACCACCGGGGCTCTGGAGGGTCAGCAATTCAGGAAGACGGGGAAACTGGTGTCGCTGAGCGAGCAGAACCTGGTGGACTGTTCCAGACCCGAGGGCAATGAGGGCTGCAATGGAGGTCTGATGGACCAGGCCTTCCAGTACGTCAAGGACAATGGGGGCCTGGACTCTGAGGACGCTTATCCTTACCTGGGAACAGTACGTATGGGAGGATGGGGAAATGTGAAGTGGACAAATCAGATTTTAGTGTGTGTGTGTGTGTGGGGGGGGGTTAATCCTTGATTTTCTGCTGTAAACAAGTCATGTAGATGAACCTTTTTAGACAACCTAAGTAGACGATGCTTTGTTCCTGATTTCTCCCCAATCATGAAATTTGTCTTTTCCAACATAATTGGCACTAGGAAGGCGTTTTTAAAAGTCCTATGTCTTACACTTATGTTCATGAAACGAGGGCTTAATTAAGTTTATTTGATTGACCAGTCGATTAATTTCTTGTTTGACAAATGTCAGAAAACAAGGTGGCGTCGTCAAATGTCTTTTGTCCAACCAACAGTTTTTTGCTGGAAAAAAATAGCTTTTTAACAATAACTTGAAACATGGTTGCAGATTTAACCCTGTATTGATCAAGTAATTTTTTAATCTATATATTTTTGAAGCTCTACAGTAAACTTTCAGGTGTTTCAATGAAAGCCATCCTCTTTGTTTTTCTTCTTCAGGATGACCAGCCGTGTCACTATGACCCAAACTATAACTCTGCCAATGACACCGGATTCGTCGACATCCCCAGCGGTAAGGAACGCGCTCTGATGAAGGCCGTGGCCTCCGTGGGACCCGTTTCAGTCGCCATCGATGCCGGACATGAATCTTTCCAGTTCTACCAGTCGGGTCAGTTCTTGGTTTTGTGAAGCAGAGACAAGTCAAAGAAACATTTTCTTGCTTTCTTCTGCCAGCTGTTTTTAAGATGGTTTATATGTAACTTGTTTTGGTGGGTGTTACTTTAGGAATCTACTACGAGAAGGAATGCAGCAGCGAGGAGCTGGACCACGGTGTGCTGGTGGTGGGATACGGCTTTGAGGGAGAAGATGTGGACGGCAAGAAATACTGGATCGTGAAGAACAGGTCAGTCAAAAGCATTTAACTTTGCTGTTTGGAAAATTGAGCCCTTTGTCCCCACTGTCCGCAATGTTTTGTTGAGGTTTAGTAGGAATTTCAGCTTGAAAGATAAAGTTTATTCTGTAACAAACTGCAGTGTGACTTTGTCTAATTATGTAGGAATTTCAGTTCAAACTTGTTTAACAGGAACAGTACAGATAAACATTGTTACAGACTAATTCAACATTCAGTGTAAATAGGACTTGTCTCTGGCTTTTAATTGGACTGTTCTAAAACTGCAGATACTCTGATGTAATTATATAAATGTTAAACTTCTTTCTCTTTTTGTTTTGTCTTCTTGCAGCTGGAGTGAAAATTGGGGAGACAAAGGCTACATCTACATGGCTAAAGACCGAAAGAACCACTGTGGCATTGCCACAGCAGCCAGTTATCCTCTCGTTTAACGTTTTGCACAGCTCCACTTTATAGTTTTTATTGCAATTGTTTGGCTGGAGGACGAGTCTTCGGTCAGAGCGACGCATTAACAGGAGATTCTGTGAAGAAACACTGTTTTTATGGAAATGGCGCCATTTTGTTTTGGCTGGTTTTATGCCACTTTATTTTGTCTGAAAGATTTTAGTCGAGTGTTTTATTCTCTGTAAATATGTGTATGCTGCTTGGTAAGTGATACGTTGACACTTGCTTCGGTCATTGTAAATGATTTCATTTTCTACTTTTACTGTGATCAATTAAAGTTGTGAAACACTAGTTTGATGTTTTGGAGTATTTTTCTTCTGCACTGTAGATTGTTGTCCTGTGAAGCTTTATCTTCAGCTTGTATTTTTCAGGTAGTTCAAAATGTGTTTTAGAAGCAGTGGGCAGCCAATGTGCAATGCCTGGGGAGCAGTTAGGGGTTCAGGGCCTTGGTCATCTTCCGTCCATTGGACCTGATAACTTTAAATCTTATAATTAGAGCAACTAAACAATATTTTATCTGTAGCTGTGTTCTTCAGAGCGCTGTTAATCTCACATGCTGGTTTGACATGTAGCACAAAGACTGAGTCACATGATCTCAGTAAAAGCAGCTGTGCTCCCTGACGTCTGGTACTGGGAGCTTATATGATTATTGATTCTTTAACAGTGGTGTTGGTTCATAAGGAAACAAGTCGCCCTTTTACTCTGGTTGCCTTACATCAGGTTTTAGTGGTAAGTAGGGCTGCAACTAACTTTTATTGTTCATTAGTTCAGGTTAATAAAAACTTTGATTTCAAGATAATTGTATGACTATAATTTCATCTCATCAATATTCTTTGAGACTGAGGTGTCTTCGTTGTATTTGAAGGTAAGCCGGTGCCAGCGCAGTTACTTAAAACTACATTTGAGTCACGTAGCAATATATATATACTTCTAGGTTTAAAAGCATATCAATATTAGTATGTCATGTATGTGAATCAGTACTATATAATAAAGTGAACACAATTAAAATTCTTTTAGATCATTCATTTCAGTTCATTTAGATGTTTTTCACAAATTCAGAAGAAAGGAATCATGTTAAAATGGTCATAATCACATAGAAATTAAATGTAATTTAATTTTAAATCTCTGGAGATGCATATACATCGCACTCAAGTTTCACATAGTGTCCCTTAAGCACCGCACTTTCTATTTTAATGAATAATTTTAAGTCAGATGTTGCCTTGAGCAAAAATCCTAGTAAAAAAAAAAGTCCTGTCTGGTCAGGGTGAAGGGGTGTGTGTGTGTGTGTATATATACATGTTTCTGTAAGATATTGACTTCACCTCAGATTTCAGACCAAGTTGATATGTTGAGCAAACACAAAAGCAGCTGGAGGAATGTGTTGTGCAACATAAAAGAAAGGCACTGAGGGAGTGAGAGATTAAAGGCTCAGTTCACCCAATCACAACAAAACCAAACATATTCTCACTTACTCTGGTGGTGTCTATGCAGATAGTTTTGTTTTTCTGTTCCAAACTTTTGCGATATCTGTCTCTGAAACCTCTGCTGCTGCTGCAAAATACAGTGGAGGTGAATGGAAGTCCATTCGTTGTGCTGTGAACACAACGATTGGTTAAAGTCCTGTACAGCTCCCTGAGGTCATGTCCTCTGTAAGTTGTTTTAGCAACTTTGATGAAAAGGGTGAAAATATGAATCAATGAAACAAAAATCATAAACAGTACACTTTATGTGATACTAGGTTTGCATGAAATTAGACTATTAACTTATTGTTAACACAGTTCTTAACTCAACCCCATTCAAAAAAGTGTTATGACTTAGTTGTTTTAGGTTTTACTTATTTAAATAAATGTTTGAGCAAAACATTAACAAAATATTAAGTATATCCCCACCAATTTTTTGTCCTGGCATTTCATAAAATGTAATGTTACCTGAATACATAAAATACAAGAGATCCAATTAAAACATTAAAGGAAGAGGGTCTGTCTGGACTTGTTTATTACATTTTTAACTTGTATTTTATTAGTTGGTTTATTGGCTCAGGCACACATACTGATTATTATTCATTATCTTCATTATTATCATGTATGATCAGACAACAGTGTGTTAATAACACTCTCTATTGGAGCCTTACTGTAAGTTGTTTAATTGTGGTGATGGAGCAGTGGCTAAGACACATGCCTTTGGTGTGAGAGATCTGGGTTCAATTCCCCACTGTGGCACATCCCCCAATGTGTCCCTGAGCAAGACACTTAACCCCTAGTTTCTCTGGAGGCGTGTAACCTGCGACATATGTAGCAATTATAAGTTGCTTTGCATAAAAAGTGTCAGCTAAATTAATAAATGTAATTTAAATAAGAAACTGTTGTTATGAGTTAATTTTCGATATTGTGATTTATGAATTAGGAGGACAGTTTTACATTGCTTACTGACCTGCTCCTCCTTGATTCTCCGTCTCTGGGGCGCTGATAGGTTGCCCTTAAGTAGATGATAAATTTAAAACTTTTTTTAACTCCAGAGTCAGACTGAGTTTCACCAAGAGACATTTCAGTTTAGTTCCAATCATGAGCAGCATTTTATTTCCCCTGATGTTTAAAAAGAGTGAATATGAATGCAAATAATCTAGTTTTAGTTCAGTTTCTACACCGCATTGGCAAAATAAACTACTGGGGAACACCTGTTGGAATCGATCAGAGCGTTTGCATCATAAAGGTGGAATAAGACAGATTGTGACCTGAATTGTGGATCAGCTGATAAAATATAGTTGAGCCAAATTAAAGAGTTACAACCTTTATCAACAGCTCACTGAAGTGCAACTCAGCTCAGCTGTGTCAGGGTGTTGCTCAAAATGAGAGTTTCATTGTGGCTTTTCTCTGTGACAGAGATTCAAAAATACATCGTTGGTGAATAAGAAACTGGATTCATTCCTGTTTCTTCTTATGGTAAATGCATGTTGCACAAACCAAGAAAAACATACTGAAACATTTAGCTCTAGTTTTTTAAAGCAATATTTCCTCATCATGTTGCTGTACATTCGAAAACATTTGACTGAACCAAACAATAATCATCAGTTTTGGAAAATGTATGTTTACTGACTTAACTGAGTTAAGTACATGAAAGGCGGAGATTCTAATATTGTTCTAAAAGAGGTGCAGGGACAAGCAGAAATGTATGGAAAGCCGTAGAGGACACACTTCTCATGACTGTTACTGTGATGTTTTCTGATTATCACAAATGATCTACATCCTGATATTCAAGGAACATAATTGTGTAGCACAGTTATTTCATAAGGATTAGATATTTCTAAAATTGTCAGACTTACAAAAAAAGGAGATCTGACAACTCATACATTTGTGGCAATTGCAAAAAAAAAAACAATCATTATCATGCAAAATCTTAGGAAACCTCTTTCTGTCCTCTTTCATAAAACTATTGGGAAAATTGAAACGTGTTTTTTAACTGTTGCAGCTTTACTGGTACTTCTTGACAAAGGACAGGTACTCGTTGACGTCATCAGGGGAGCCGACTACGAAGGGCACCCGCTGGTGGAGCGTTTCGGGCTGTACGTCCAGTACCCTCTGAGTGCCGGTGGTGGCGAGGCCTCCCGCCTGCTCGATGAGGAAAGCGATGGGGTTGCACTCGTACAACAAGCGCAGCTTTGGGGAGAAAAATTAAAGGAAAACACAGTTAAAGTGTTTTTTTGCTGGACTTTTCTCCTCGATTCTTTGCTATTTTATTGTACTTTTTGCTCTTGCTTGTACCAAAAGTTTGATTCAGTTTACGCATACAAAGAGTAATGTTCTCAAAATAGAGTAGTCAGTGGCCAGTAAGGCATCCTCATTCGCAAATGGAAGCAGAAGAAGAAATACATAGTGTAATACCACATCTTGATCATGCTTCAGCATCAAAATGTCACCACATCTATACAAGCAAGAATATGGTGAAATCATGTATAGACAATGGCAGTCATGTAATGATTCTGAGACCTGGTTGTGGAGGAGTTTTGCTCATTTAGGTGAGCAGAGTTTAAACTGCATAGACATGTATGTTAGAACTGGAGCTATATTTGGCTGAAACGTGATAGTGTTTTGGTTTTAGTAATATGACAGTTTCATTTCAGAGACTATATGTCTGTGTGACACAGGTCCTAACTACACGTTGAAACATCTCTTAAGATCACATTTAAACCTTGTTTAAATCTGCCTGGTTTTTAGTGTTTGTCATTCTATCTTACTTACTCATTACTTACGCAATTTGTAAATCACTTATAACTGCCACTGTGTTTCAGATGTGCTATATAAATATCAGAACTAGTGAGTTGTTCCCCTTCACTTAACCACATGCTGTTATTAGTCTAAATCAGAATCTAATTTCAATGTTGTGTTTGGTCATTTGACCACATTAATAATAAAATACTGTTATAATTACAGTATGTCCAGGATAAATGGGTCACAGAGTCAAGCTGCCTGAAAGAAAATGGGTTCTCATTTATGTTTATGACCGACGTGGACTGTCTCTGAGCTTTATTTATCACAGGACAACCTCAGGTTACACTACTGCAGGACCCACTGTACAGTTTTTCATGGAGGCTATGAGTGTGAGACTTGAGCTCTTGACAATTGCTACAACTAGCTCTTTAATATACCAGTTTGGGTCACATGAAGGAATGTCAATATTAATTATTTGTAGTTTGTAGTTGTATTTTTTTTTTACGTATTATATTTGTCCCGTAAAAAACATTTTTTTCTACTTCATTATTACTTTACTACATGTTGTGGTGCTGGCGTTTGTAAGCTGCTCTGAGTCAAACGTTTAGAGCCAGTAATTCCCTTATCATGATTGGCATTATTCAAGAGCCTCCGGCTTATGAGGAAATGACAAAATCTGCCAAGCTGGTAAAGCTTCAGTAAGATGACGTCCTGGAGGCCAGTGGTTACCTTTCCCTTGGGGCTCTTCTCATTGGCGGGGTACATGAAGATCCCTCCGTAGGCAATGGTGCGGTGAACATCTGAGACCATAGAGCCCACATAACGAGCTCCGTAAGGAGAGCTGCCATCCTGCAGGAGGCAAGGGGTTATATGTAAAATATTTGTGCATTTGTGGATTGTTGTGGAGAAATGTTTTTTTATAATTAATATTTACTTTTTAATTGTTGTTGTTGGATGATTGTAACAAGACTCTATTTCAGCTCTTCCAATGACAGGGTTTTCATGATTCACAATCCCATTTTTAGTTTCCAAAAGACACACAATCTTTTTAACCAAGCTCACAAACTCCATCCATCCATCGGAGAGAACGCATGCGGACACAGGGAGAACATACAAACTCCACACAGAAAGGCCAGGGCAACCGGGGTTTGAACCCACAACCTTCTTGCTGTGAGGCGCCGCTTGCTCACAAACGCAATATGTTTTATTTGGGGTTGGGTGTCAAACTCAGTACTTTTTATGTACTGATGGAAATACGTATGTTTTTCTAAAATTTGTCAAATGTTAGCATTGAATGGCTCATCCAATTTGTGGTCATTCAATGTTTAAATCTAAAACATCCTTTAAACGAAGTGTTTGAACAATGTTCAATCTGAAAATGTGGTTTAAAAGTAAATAAGTATCCTACGTGTAAAAGGGACAGCAATGGAGCGCTGCATACTCTACTCTTCATTTATTTGTTACCCTGCACACTCTGAAATAGACAAGCACCTGTTCAGATCAGTGAATGAAATACAGTGTGTCGATCCCTTCTGCATTTAACAAATATTGTTAAAAATGGGTTTTGGTGCGCAAGAAGACTGGTTTGCATACATAGACTTTGATGTTGTGATCGATACAGCCGGTTATAACACACATTTAGTTTTCCTGTATAGTTATAATACAGTGTAATTATAAAGGGCAATATGTAAACAGGTCAGTCACACAGCTTATTTGAAAGTTACAGCTACGGCAGATCTGCTTCAGCCAGACAGAAAACAACAGACAGGTCAAAGTCCATCTGCAGCAGCTGGGCCATATATTGAGCCTGCCAGAGGAGGGGACTCATTGCGCTACACAAACCTACAAAAACAGGCTACTTAAAGAACAGCATTTGGTTCAAACAAACAAAATTAACTGGACTTGTGAAAAGTTGATTTTATGAAGTTTTAATAATGGAAAGTGTGTCTTTCTTTTTCTTTAATTAATGTTTCATTTACTGATTCCACACTTTAATGAACGATTAACCAAAATCATTTCATAAACCGAGTACTTGACAAAACAAAACAGCACTCTTTCTTACAGAGTGCAGCCTATGAGGTGTTCCTCTGAAGTGAGCTTCATGTTCAGACCGGCACAACGTGACACAGAGGCATGCGCTTGCTGTGTCACATCCCAGTCATCACGAGGGAGGGGTGTGTGCATAGTGTGCATGGCCCTGAGGCTAATTTCCTTTCTATATGCTGACATCAAGGTAGTGGCTCATTAGGAGTGACTGCTGACAGGTGGGGTGGTGTGACTGCTCACCTATACATATAGGTGCCTGAGCATTCAGTTTAGGTGACGTGGTTTGGCTGAATTGCGGGATTTTGTTTTTGCTTTCTAACACCTGTACATGTTCTCACACTATACACATTACTGATGAACTGACTGCACACTTAATATTGTTTTCTTAAATACATGTATTTTACTTTAAAGAGTGATGTGTGTTCTCCACATTTTGTCCTTCCTTTGAGCTGGGATGTGGTAATAGTATTTCCCAAAAATAGACCCACCCACACTCACAAACTCTCAAAAACAAACAAACATGCAGCTGGCCACAGGCCTGAAACTTCCTAAAATAACATAAAATAATAAAAGAAAGCGTCAAGGAAGTAGCAAAAAAGTGTGGGAAGCTTTATGAGGGTGAGCTGTGTATGAAAATTATCTTCAGTACACATCATCAACACTGGTCAGGTGTTGTTAACCTGACTTTACAAGTTTTTCAAGGAGTTTGCAACCTAATATTTTTGTTTGTCAGTGGTAGACAAACATCCATTTTTAAAAATCATCTGACTCATACGTAATACTCTTTTGATAAAAATTCAACCCAGAAGGACAAATGATCTGATTTTACATTAGTGTGTCTGGCAGCTGGTTTAGTAGGAAAAGATTTGTGGGATAGTCTGTTTTCCTGATTTTCAGACTTCAAATCTGAATATCATTCTGCATTTGCAACCTAACAAGAGCAAAAGAGAGGACTGATTTTAAAAAAGTAAAGAGGATACTACCTTCACTTTAGATATAAACTTCACTACTATGTCTATCGAGCAACATTTGCATTCTAGTTCAATCTTGTGAGATGAGTTTTTGCTATTTCGTAACACCATGCATATTCCACAGTGACTAACATTGTGGTTACGACTGCATTGTGCTTGGTCATGATGATTGTGTGAAGTGTAACATGATGATGACTGTGCAGCCAATGTAGGTTTTAAACTGGTGGAAGATAGAGTCTTTGCAATTTGAGCTGCATTTTGAGTATGAAAGGTGCTACTTAAATAATGTTTGTATGTTATCATTAAATGAAATCTGTATCTTTAATACCTTAAAATGTGAAGCAAGTTCAACTGTATAGCAGGGTTCAACAACAAGGCCATTCAAAGTGCTTCAAATAAGACATGTTGCTTCTGCAAAAGAACGCTTTGACCAATGTAAGCAAGCGCAGCTGCGAGCCACAAACAACAAAGATATCCATCTTAATGACAAGCGCTATCACCCAGGGTCAATGTTGGAATCCATTCTAACTAAGGTGCAGTACTTTTGCAGTACAGTAACAACTGCTGTCCTCGAACAAAGTTTTCAGAACCACCTTTCAAGGCTTCTGGTAGTGTTTGGTACAGATTTTAAGTGAAATGCTCCTTTAATCTCAAAGCACAGCTGAGGCCAACAGGTCAGTTGGTGCTGCATAAATAGTACTAATAAAATGAAAACAAAATATGTTTATATGTTTATGTTTATATTTTAGTGTAACTGTGGTCAAGAAGAAGCCTCAGAGATGGACATTAAAGTGGACATTTCACAAAAGTGCAGTTTATCAGTGTGATCCCTGGTGACACGGATGCTGATGACCAAACAAACTTTGCGGTCATGTTTGTGCTGGAGAAGTGCTGAGTGAGTGAGTTCAGAGTTTCCAGATGAGAAGCTGCAGTTTCCTGAAGAACACAATGTTTCCTGCAGTAACTGTGTCGCCATCCTGCAGCTCAGCTGACCGAGCCGCTGCCCATCATCCTGTCTGACCAAACTGTCACGCTCAACTGATCGTACCCGTGTTTGGGTCAGGGTGGTTACTCTTTGAACCCCTTCTTAGCCTGCAGTGCCTGGCTGCATGAAGCATCTTCACTTTAAACTTTTAAACTCAAGATGTTCACCTTAAATTCCCTTAAATTGACAACATATGTATGCTGTGTGTCTTTGTTTATTCTTGTCTAACTGTAAAGTGTAAAATTACCACTTAATCAGTGATTGTTGAAAAGGCAAATTATTTCACATCACTATTCATTTTCACAACAAAATGAAATGTAAATTTCTTATTTTAGCTAAGGAAATTAAATGTGTAGAAGTAGCTTTTCCTCTTGATGTTTAACACAAATGTCCATTATTTATTTACTGAAAAACATTTAAAGAACTCCAATCTGCTGATACCCTTTGAATAAAACAGCTCCTTGTGTGCTGCCAACCAAAAGTCCTCGTGTAAACTCATTCTACCAGAGCAAACACTTCGTCAGGACTCACATGATGAGAGGGAGAGGCTGCCGGTGTTTGAAATCCTGCCTCAGATCTGAGCGTAAGTATAGCTGTGTGTCAGCAGAATAGATGGTCCGGAGGGAGACGAGGCTCAACTCTATTGTACAGCTTTGATTAAAGGTGTCAGATTCAAAACCCCAAACACAAAGTAGAACTGATCAATGTCAAAACTTTGGCTCAAATAAAAGTGGGAGTTTTGTGAGTATACAATAGATACCTCTGGGTATTTCTTGTGCTTGAGGTATTCGTTGATGGAGGGGTGGAAGTACTTGGCGTAGCCCTCGTTAAGACTGTAGATCTTTCCCTTCGGCTTGATCTTCACATTCCTCTCAGTCAGGATGAACTCACCGATGGCCTGAGGAACACCAATGTAATGTTCAGGTGGGGAAATTCACTCCAGAACAAGCCACAACACTTAATTTATTGAAAAAAATCAGTGGGAAGACAATCTTAATTTAATTAAATATTAGAAATTGTAAGAAATTCTTGGTGCGAAAAATATTTATCTGGAAAATGTACTCATACGTTTCCAGGGAAACAGCCTAAATATGCTTATGGTGAGAGTACAGTCCATTAAAACAGACATAATATAATGTAACATTATTGGCTTTAGGCCTGAACATCTCTCGTGGTCGGTGAATTGCATGCCCGAAAACAGCACAACAGGTTTCTGGATGTGTAACAAAAACAACAAGATTACTCACAAACATACAGTAAACTGTTTCATCCAATAATAATAATAAAGCTGCTTTTCCAAAGGCCAATTCCCAATGATTGGTTGTTGACAGGGTTAAGACCTTGTGTGAGTGTGTGTGAGAGGTGATAAAAGCATTTAACTTACTTAAAATAAAAATGTTAAATGACAAAAGAGGAGCTATGTCCTCCAATCAGGGTAACCCAAAAGGGAAACAACAAACACAAAAAGGCTGAAATTCTTCTCTCAGTTTTGAATTTATGCTCTGCTTTGCCTTAGAAGACCTTTGAACTGCATCCTATGATTTATACTTAGCTGGATTTCTTAAGGCCAGTTAAGATGGCACACATGTTCTGCCAATTAAAAAGGGATTTATGTTTGTTTACATTCTCCTACATCCCCGATTGCACAGTGGAGACGTGCAGCACGGAGGGATGATTGACAGCATAAAATGTGTTTTCATAAATAAAAACATCTATAGGGCAATAAAAATATATTAACAGCGACAGCAATAAGGGAGAGACAATAATGTTGGGTAGAAAAGAATATTTAAAGAAATAGACAGCAGTGGATGTCTCGTTGTATCTCACTTCCTGTCATTTCACCACCACAAACAACTTTTCACATTCAGATCTCCAAGGAAAACTGGAGACATTTAATTTAACTGGAGTGAGTGTGAAGTACTCACAGGGTCCAACATAAAGAAGTTGAGGCCAGCGCCGGTGCTGAGGGCCACCAGGGTGGCACTGCCGTACAGGGTGTAGCCTGCACAAACAATGTTGTTTCCCTGCTGCAGGGCATCTTTCTCTGTAGGCTCCCCCTCCGATACCTGAACGACCCGAGGTGGGAAATAAGAAACAAAGAAGAAAACATGAAGAGTGATTTCCTGCAGACCACTAACCTAGGAGAGTCTGTTTCATGGACTGTATGCAAATGTTTACTGCAATTCATTTGCAACACACAGTAGAGCCCCAGAAAGTAGTGCAATTTCCTAAATCTACTATTTTACAAACAACAAGAGCAACAATCTTATATCAGTATTTCAAATTGAAAACGTGTAAATTCAGAGGAATGGGTAAAGAAACAGGGAAGACAACCAAACATAAATCACAGTGAGTGATATAATTTAACTAACTATACTGAAGTACACTGTTTGAGCCTACAGTATCTGTCAGTCTATTTGTCTATGAGGTGCAGTTCACAATAAAAAAAGAGTTGGAAGAACACAAAGCAAAATGTTTCTGTGCTTTTTTTTTTTATGGCTTTGTGTTGTGAAATGATTAACATGACCTATATGAGAACGTTACATTCCTCTTAGGGCTTCTCTGCTCGCTAGGAAAATAAAACAGACTGTCATTCTGCAAATGATAAAATGACTCCCTTTGCATGCAGTCTGGGGAGCAGAAACCCGGATTAGCTGGACAGCAGTGCCTCCTTGTGTCTAAAGAGTGTAAGAACAGCACTTTCAAGCTGTGTATTTACACTATAATTAATATATAATTATATATATTAACATATAATATAAAACTATTCTTACATTCTAATGTTTCATAAAATGTGATGAATGTGGTTATGTCATAATTATTTCTACAGAGATAAACATATCTATATTCGTTTGATGCTTGTTTTTCGATATGTATTGGTTATTTTAAGGTATTTCTCCACCTTTTGTGGAGTTGTACTGAAATAAATACATTCAGAGGAGTTTAGTTATTTACAATGTGCCTAATGATATAGTCAATATACAAACAACATTGAAAAGCAGCACAATGGTGGAACGAGCTACCACATGCCATCAGCGCAGGAGCATCCCTCTCTAACTTCAAGATGCTCCTAAAAAACTAATTTCTTCCGAGAGCACTTCCTGACTGCACTATTCATCAACTCCTGCTTCTTCCCTTAAGTATTTATCCCATTGGTGCCGTATGCTTTAATAGCTCTTGCTAGTATTTATTGCAGTTCTTTGTCATATCATTTATCATTTGTAGATCTCTTCCTTTACTGATGCTTTTATGTTTTTCCTCAAAAGTTGCTTTGGATAAAAGCATCTGCCAAATAAGTAGCCTAAATGTAAATGTAAAAAGCATAACACAGATGCATGTTATGTAAAGAGAGTTTTTCTGCAGGGATTTAGTTTCCTTTCTTATTACAATGCATGTTTTATAGCTTTATGTGACCATTTGCTGTGTCTGGAATGACCCTCATGAACTGCATAAAATGGTACTCAATGAGATATAAAATCATTCCTTTCCTCATTCCTGAAAATCTTTTTAAAAAGTGTTTGTACTTAATGGCAAATATGAATACTTTCAGAATAATCTCTTGAGTGCCTACATGGCTTTGTATCTTCGCAGAGGTCAGACTCACCCGTTTGTAGATGGCAAATATGGTGCCGATCGAGGCCAAGCAGTCGATGTTGCTGGAGCCATCCAGAGGGTCGAAACAGACCACGTACTTTCCCTGTGACGATACACAAACAGGCCAAAAAAATATCGCATGACAAGTGAAAAATATGCACACTACAAGTTAGTATTTTCAAGGTATGAGTTTATTAATTTATTTGTTATTATACAACACAAGGCTGCACATTGAAATTAAAGTTGTAGCTCCCTTCACGCTACATACACACACAGATCATGCAGTATATACAAATATTTAAAGTTAGAATAGAATAGAAAGAAAAATACAGTCACATGTCAGAGCAGCACTCAGGGGATTTCTAGTCTGTGTGGACTGATTGAGTTCAGTTTTACTGTTTTCAAGAACAAACACTCACATACTGCACAGGCATGTGCTCTTCTTATATGTGTTGTATATGACATGAAACACATCCTCCAGAATACAATGTCTTATTGCTATTACTCTGACTTCTCAGGATATAGGTTGGAAACACGCAGGTAAGCAATTCAGAATGAGCAATTCCATCCTCCCAATGACCCCAGATGTCATTCAGCAGTGGACACCAAATAAGGAACGTTCCAGCTACATATGTAATTCTTAAATATTAATAATAATACACAATGAAAATATGGTGAAATATTATAGCATCCATCAATAAAATGGAGTAATAATCATAACAGAGATATTCTTCAATCTGTTTGCAGCTGCATTTGTAAACTCACGCTTTGGTGAGCTGTTTCAAGCCTGAAGGAGGTCTTTACCCAGAGATCATCGATTAGTACACTGAACTTTCAACACATTTTTCTCTTTTCAGTAGATTTAGTTATTGAGCCAAACTTTCTCTGAATGGAGCGCTCACTGATAAAATTTTTATTTGTTAATATCTGTGTGAATTCCCTTCAGCACTCATCTAATCATAATATGTTTATTACATATTATAATATACTATGTTTGCTATATTGCTGTAATATAGCATAGAATATTCTGTAGTGGGTGGCTGTGGCTTCGAGGTAGAGTGGGTCGCCCATTAGTCCCCAGAGATCCCCGGCTTCCCCCCCCGCATGTTGAAGTGTCCTTGAGCAAGATACTGAACACCAAATTGCTCTGTGAGTGTGTGTGAATGATTTGTTTCTTTCTGATGAGCCGTTGGCACCTTGCCTCTGCCATCAGTGTGTGAATGTGACATGTATTATAAAGCACTTTCGTGTTCAGAAGACAAGAAGCACAGTCCGTTTAAATATTATGTTATACTATATTACTACATTTCACTTTTTATATCCCATACTATGTTATACTATATTGTGTTAAAGTTATGCTGTTATTACATTATATACTATATTTGTATTATATTTCTATTTTAACACTGACAAACAATAAATATAATTACTTAATATTCAATATTATTCTGGTGTACACAGTTATATCAGATGGTATTATTATTCTATACTATACTTTACTTTGCGGCTACTAATCACACCACTGTCTAGTCACTTGAGACAGTACTTCACTATTAGTTTAAGTACAACACTGTGTGTGTGTGTATACTGCTTGCCTGGTAATTTTGATTTCCGTTGCACTTTTAAAGTTTCTATTGTTATTTCTATTGTTATTTTCTGTACTTCTAATTATGTAGTTATCTATACAGTTGTACTTTTTTCTGTCATTGTGCTGCTGAAACACTTGAATTTTCTCTCTGGGGATCAATAAAGGCTTATCGTATCTAACTAACTTGCAAGGACAGGCGTATTCCTACACAAAATGTCTGCAAAATGCAACTTAAACAGGAAAACAAAATATCATAACGGTGTTGCTGTCCTCCTCAGCAGACGAGCAGTGTTCACCACTCACCCTCTTGTCTTTGGGAGTGATGATAAGCTCCTTGTTCTCCTCGGACACCATGCAGCAGGTGCTGTAGGAGGCCTGCAGCATGTTGATGACCAGGTCGTTTGACAGGACGTCCAGCTTCTTCACGTCGTCCCCTGTCACATTCACTGAGCCCGCCAAGCCCTGCCTGTGTGGACCAAGCTTTAGTCTCACACACATACAACTTGACTGAGAGACAACTTGTTAGCATGTCAGCTCCTCGTAGATGATGGAAGAGCTGGTGAAGACATTGTTTTTCAGCTTTTCATCATGGGGGGACAACAAAGACAAGGTGGATCGTGATTAATTATATATATTTTTTTCTTCAGATGCAAAAGATGTATTCAGTCATGAGTTGGCACGGTTTCAGTAATTCTCCTTCATATGGAAGAACACTTTACTTCTACTACTTAAGCCCCTCTAATTAGCATTCATAGGCAGATAAACAATGTGTATTTGTTTAAGTGCATTAGTTGCATTAGTGTTTGTGTCTACCTGCCCAGCGACTGCAGATGAAAAATTAATGTTTTTTTTGTACATGGTCCCTGACATAAATGTAATAATAATCTAAACTAATTTTAAAATGGTTCATAACACACTATAATGTAGTTGTAAGAAGATAATAAGTGTTTTTTAACAAATTCGTTGTCAACTATAACTCCACCTGTGGGCACCCATCAGCAGAGGCTATAAACAGATTATGAATGACAATACAGTAAAACATTGTTTTAATGAAAAAAAAAAACATGCCTTCATAAGAGAAGTTATATTGTAAAAACTACTGACCAACACTTATGAATATCCTTACATCTGTGTACAACAATATTATCGTGTGTAAAGAACCATGATCCTGCATAAATATCAGCTACTAATTGTGAAAATATTAATTTATACTTGACCAAAGTTTGATGGCACTAGTTCCCTTCAGGTGTTTTACTCACCCTAACAGCAACAATTGTGTGTGTGTCCCTCTCAACAAGAGTTACTTCCATTAATTAAATTATTTACTGTATGCTGAGGCTTTGGTCGTGCAGAGCTAAGATTAGGGACAAGGCCATGCTTGGATGTCAAGATTTGTATGCAGCCTAAAAGGCAGTGCTGCTAAAAAGACTCAACTCAGAACCAGTCAGAGATCGCCCTTTTTATCCTCTCAGTGAATTCACATAATCTTCCAAAACACTGGCTTCTCTCTCAGGTCACTTCCCTTAGCAAGGAAATGGATGTTGTGTCAACAAATCAAAAATGTTTTGCAATCATAGTGTTATCATTTGACCTCCTGCTAGGCAAGACACTGAGAAAGCTGCACAGTATTTTATCATGTCCAGATTAGAGAGTTGAAATGCACCTGAAAATCATACAAAGCTCGATGTCTTACAGCATGACTTCTATGCCACACAAAACAATCAATCATATCAGGCTACTGGCTCTGTCGCTCCACTGCTTCAAGGGTTCAGTGTTAAACTTCTAAATCCTCAAATGAGCACAGCCTCAACCCTTTACTCCCTATTGGCTCGTCTACTGTAAAGGTGAAGCAAAATGTCAAACAACCAGCTTTAGTGACACACTGAATTCCCACCAGCTCCATGACAGCTGTCCTGCAGCTGACCTTGACCTGCTCTGTGGTGACCAACACAAGTCTTACACAGTTCAATAAGGTATCATCACATTATTATTTCTTGTGAAAGCTTAAATGTGCACATCAGGCTTTGTTAAATCATAGATATGCATCATCTATCATATTAGTCAGTAGTATAATGGTGCATACACATGAGTGGTTCCCATCCTCCAGCACCTCAGTACTTACAGGTGGGCCAGGCCTGCCTTGCGCACAGCAGAGGAAATGGCTTTGATTGCAGTCAGCATGGCGTTAATGAGCTGGGTCAGCTCACCAGTCGCCCCCTTAGCCTGGCGGCCGGTCTCGATGACGAACCGGGTCAGGGTCCATACGTCCGTGTCAAACGCCGACTGGTCCGACATGCTTGGTTCTAGTCCTTCTCTCCCTCCTGTGGAGCGGCAGATCGGGCGGAGGACGGACAGTAAGTGAGCCACATCATTACCAGCCACGTCCTTTTCATACCCAGAGCCATGAAGGCAAGCCAGGGGATCTATTTGTAAACGCAGTCGAGTGGAAAAGGGCGTGTGTGTGTGTGTACTTGGAGATGGGTGAGGGGGGGTGTCAGGTGTCAGCTGTAGAGACTGTCACAGTCTAATCCTGCACAAGACCAGCACTGCTAGTCATTTAGTCAAAAGGTTTGCAACATGTTTGACACCAGTAACTCAAAACTTGGGTAACATGACAGCTCTTAGGTAAAGTCTCGATATTTTAACCACATTTGTGTACACATGAACCCGAGAACCATTTGGTGCTGTGACAATAGAGGAACAACTTTCTGTACTCTTTATCCAACTTCATGTGTTGAACAATGAAGCCTGAAAATCATGTTTATTTAGGTTAAGACATCCAGCAGGAAACGTTTATAACAGATCCAGATTTTGGTGCTTTCCATGAACTGCCCACTTACCACTAAATACATCTAATCCTGTCAGCCATTTATTCAATATGCTTTATTTCACATTCTACCAACTCAAAACAACTCTTATGATGTAGTTCAAAGGGAGTTTGGATTCAGTATTTTTTTGTTTCTGAGCTACAACACACTTTGGTTAAAGACTGAGCGACTCTGTTGCTTGGTTTTAGCACAACAGCAGCAGTGAGCTTTAAATGTCATTAGGGTTCAGAGCTTCCACTGACCTTCAGCTTAAAGGTCAACTCCTCTGGATAAAGTATCTCCTAGCTTTTGTAGACAGTAGATCTTTCAACTTTTCAACATGTCTGATGCAATTAATTTATTCCATTCAATTTCTCAGGAGTTTGCTTATTCTGTCCACATATGTAAAGGCTGCATGTTTCCTGGAGTACTGATGCCATAATTAAACTGTCCAGCAGCCAATAAATACACAAACCACATTTTGGCAAACACACATTTCAAAATTATTAAAACACAGATTTTGTCTTCTTAGAATCACGTGGATTTATTGACAGACTTCATCAATCCAAGCAGCAGTTGTTCACATAATAAAAACAAAAAAAAGTTTTATTATTTGGTACTTCACATATCTAGAATGTTTATTCATTCTTATTGAAAAAGGCACGAGTGGAGGTAAAGTGAGGAGTAAAAGTCTCCAGGTTGTTTACTCAAGTACTTCTTTTTTGGGAGCACATTTGGTAGATTTTTTGTGGAATGTGTTGTGTGCGTTATTGAGCTTATGAGCTGCAGTTTTCATGTTTCCACTGAACCACCTTCTTTCCATTATCTGTCAGCTTTCTACAAATACAGTATGAATATTGCTGGAATGACATCAAAACCTTGTAATACCAAATTTGGTTGTTTTTGTATTTTAACTGAGAAAATCCCCTGACATTTTGGGGCTTAAGAAACCATTTCATGACATTATCAAAAATACATTTACATCAGGGTTTTTCAAAGTGCAAGGCGGGCCTCCCTGGGGGGCTCCACGCAGTTTCAGGGGAGGCTCAGTGAATGGAAGTAAAACGATATGGCATTACTTATTGCATTCGTTATCAAAAGGAGATCACATAGAATAGCCTACATGCATGAGAGTTCAGAGACACAGTAGTTTTTGGGAACCGTTTTCCCACCCATCAGTCAGAAACTAATAAATGCCTTTGGACAGACCTTTTTTAAAACTATTTGGTGTAGTCAGAAGTTATGTCAAATGGCAATATTAGGCTATTTTGGCTCAAATGTTGAGTGTTTATGGGATCAAATAATATAATCATGATCCCATAGGCATCCAGGAATTGACGAAATGTACCAAGTAAACTAAAGATGTGGTTGGGGGGCGCTGATTTACAAGCTTTATCTGACGGGAGGCTCGTAGTCCCAGACTTTGAAAACCCCTGATTTACATCAAGCTCAAAAAGAGGCCGACTTCCTCAGTCCTGTAAAAGTGGACAGTTTGGAGATATGAGGTTTTCGGCGGAGACTGATGGCTGCGGTCTCACTTCTTGGCATATTTTTGGCAGATGGCGACGTACTCCAGCACGTCCTCTGGGGAACCCATAGCCACGGGAGCCCGCTGATGGATGCTCTCAGGCTGGATGTCCAGGATGGTCTCGTAACCGGTGGAGGCCATGCCGCCCGCCTGTTCCATGATGAAGGCCATGGGGTTGCCTTCATACAGCAGCCGCAGCTATGAGAAAGAGGGGGAGTTTAGTTTCTAGTGTTTTTTCTAATCTCACACTCTGAAATGAATATTCTCATCTAAAGGTTTTCACTTGTTTGCAACACTCGGAATGGTCTAGCACTTGAGAGCTAATATGAGGCTTCAGCAGTCTGACTGAGACAAGTAGATTGTAAAGTTGTAGTCTATTTAGTAACAAATCCCCACTTTCATTATTATCCATCCACCACAGCTCAGTACAGAAACACTGTCCATGGAAGCACAGTGAACACTGAGAACTCCCAAGTTTGCTGAAGCCTCATATTAGCTTCAGATTAATTTCTGCACAGAACTGTGGATCACTTACATCTGCAGTGCATTAGGAAGATCTCTCTTAATGGACAGTATGAACAGGAGCATTACAGTAAGCAAAACATGATTCAATATTCATATGGGCACCTGACTATTGTTTTAAGACAGACTTGAAAATTGTGAACCTATCGTTTGGTGAAATGACGACTACGGATAAAAACTGTGGAACAACATGACACTAAACTTCAGTTGAATCGACTACTTTAACAGTATATTTTCAGATCTCTCTAAGAAAAAACTAAATCTAAAAACAATAGTCTATCAAACAGCTGCAGCTGTTTCAGAACGCTGCTGCTCGAGTCCTCACCAAGACCAAAAAAGTAGATCACATCAATCCAGTTCTGAGGTCTTTACACTGGCTTCCTCTCTGTCGAAGAGTTGATTTTTAAATATTACTGTTGGTTTATAAAGGCATGAAGGGTCAAAATACATTGCTTTCTGTCCCTAGAGTCAAAACTACAAGGAGAAGCAGCATTCAGTTTTTATGCTACATATATCTGAAAAAACTCCCAGAAAACTACAGTTCTGCTGAAACTCTGTTATTTTAAATCAAGGCTGAAGACTTTTCTTTTCGCTGCAGCCTTTTATTGAATCAAATTTAAGACTTTTGATTAATATCTTACACTGCATCGAAGCTTTTACTGTCCTGTTTTATCTTGTTTTTATTTTATGTTTAACTCTTCTATCAAATCTTGCTTTTAAGTCGTTTTTTGTTGCATTGATTGTTTTATTTAAATATTTTATTTTGTTCGTATTTTATAATAAAGGCAACTTTTTAATCTGTAAGTTGTAAGAAGTAAATCTAATAATTGTCCTAAGTATCATTAAAAAAATTTTAACATTGCATGGCTTTGCTCAAAACTGGTGTGTCTGAGTTTAGCCTTTCTGTTTGCATTTTTTTGTGGCTGATGTCTCTAAAGAGCACTTTGGTTTGTTGACAAACTACAGGTACTGTATGGATTTGATTTACTGAACGTTACTGATGCAAGTTTTATTCTATATTTCTATGCTTTTTTTGCATTTTGAAAAACAGTTGCTTTCTACCGTTTTTAAATGTGACAACATGTTTGGCTCAGTCTTGCAAATACTGGAAGGATGTCGAGAGTGAAGAAACAACATTGTGACACTTCCTTCAGTACGATCTCATGTTACAAGTGACACTCAAACTATTTATGATGGAAATTTCTCCTCAAAATGACTCAAAAGTGAGAGAAGTAAATTTTTTTATTGGTTTTTATAAACTAAAAATAATGGGGTTCAAGACTACTTATCGCCACTTATGGTTGATGATGTTATTAAAGGTTAAACCTGTTGATATTTTACACTTTTCTTAATCTGAACAAATACTGTGACTGTATTTACTAAAGGTGTACGATTTGCTTTTGTTGAGGATAGAACTGAATTTGAGATAGGGCATTCATTATTAGGTCTTTAAAATGTTTAATGCAGGAGCAGGAGAAAGCAGTACTGGGACCTTACCTTTCCTTTGGGGCTCTTTACATTTCCTGGATATAAAAAGATGCCTCCATACATCAACGTTCGGTGGACGTCTGCCACCATGGAGCCAATGTAACGGGCACCGTAGGGCTCAGTGCCATCCTAAAGTCATTTAAAATGCTGCATTAGTAAGCCATTTAAAACTAGACAAGATCTACATTTGAAAATGAAAAAAACATCATTAGCTGGACATAATCCCTTTAATTTACGGTTTTGTGTAATAGATATTAACAACACCACTCAGCTTGATGCCCTCCCCACACATGCCCTGAGGTCTGTTACCTGAGGGAACTTCTTCTTCTGCAGGTACTCTGTGACGGCGGGTTCAAAGTGTTTTGCATAACCTTCATTCAAGCTGTAAATCTTGCCTCGCTTCTTGATCTTCACATCCCGATCAACCAGGATAAATTCGCCAATCGCCTGATGAGCAGAAAATGTCATCAGCAACCCCAGAACCACACGTTTTATACAAAACCAAAGACTTTTTTGACACAGGTCCTTCAAGAGAGTACTAACTGGGTCGAGCATGAAGCAGTTGACTCCCTGGCCAGTGGAGATCACCATCATGGTGGCGCTGCCGTAGAGGGCGTAGCCTGCCGCCACAAGGGTCCTGCCAGGCTGCAGGGCGTCCTTCTCACAGGGCTCGTGATCTGTGGTCTAAAGGAAACCATAAACTAATCCAGGAATTATTCCCTTTTCATTTATCATTTCAGTGGAGTGTAGGCAACTTTATTATCAATAACAATGGAATAGAGAGGAATTGAATCTGTCTGCTGGACATTATTTTACTGTGGGTCTGGACTAAACCGCTGATATTAACTTGTTCACATACAGTAATGATAAAAGTTTCTGTTACACATTATATTCTTTCCCCCTTGAAAATTAATTTTTTCTCACATTTATTCTTTAGTTTACCATCTTAGTAAAATAGCATTACCAAATCTTGCATTTTAAACACTACTGATAAGGAACACTTTGCCCTCGAGGGACATAAAAGAAGAATAAGCTGGGTTTGAGTGAAGCAAACCTTATTTTGAAAGCTTATTTTGACCTGGATAACATAACTCAAGGGGGTATATGAATGTGACATTTTGGCATGAAATTAGCCAATATTAAAGACAGTGAACATGAGCGACAACGTCAATCTAAGTCATCTGTCTTGGCCTTCAAAAACTCAACACAATTATTGAAGTTAATTTAAAAAATCATTCTGTTATGACTTTGAAAATCAAGGACAAAGACACTTAATCGTGGGAATTTTAACGTGTGTATGTACCTTTTTGTAGATGGCAAAGATTGTTCCAATGGAGACGAGACAGTCGATGTTGGAGGAGCCATCCAAAGGATCAAAGCACACAATGTATTTGCCCTGGAAGAGAAGAACGAACCGTTTTCTTGTAAACAAACAAAAGCGTTGTTGTGTTACACGCCTAAACACACTGTGTGAGGTCAAACAAACATGTTGAATGCATTCCCTTCATCTTAAAACATTTACAGCTGATTTTTTTATTTAGTATTTTAAATCCTCTTGTTTACATTAGGCTGGTAACTATTTTGATAATTGATTAATTGGTCAGAGAAATCTTATAAGAAAAAAAAAAAAAAGGTTAAAATTCCCTGATTCTTAAATGTGAATATTTTCTGGTTTCTTTAAATCTCAGCAAACTGAGTATCTTTGTGTTGTGGATATAAACAAGACAAGTGATGACGTCATCTGGGCCTTTGGGAAAAACTGACTGACATTTTTCACCAATTTATCTAACATTTTAACCAAACCAAAAAACTAATCAATTAATTGAGAAAATAATCGACAAAGAAAATAATTGTTAGATGCAGCCTTGGTTTACATTCATATTTACTAGTTGGCACTCTTCTTCCCTGCCTTTTGTTGGCAGGTTGTTGTGTTTCTTCACCCATTACTGCAGTCTGTAGATCAGCGGATTAGTATGAAACCATGAGTAGGAATCTGTATCGCATCACCCTCGTGGGCGTGCATGAGACTGTGCTATCTAATTTCATATAACATAACAGTTTATGGACAGGGGTGTCCACATATAGAATAATATAGTATTAGATAGATAGACTGATATTATTTCTGAGGAACAGAAGCCCAAGCCATTTTTTACTGAGCAGGTTATCTGATGAAAAACATTTATATTAACTCAGAGAACTGGATGAGCCTGTTTCAGTCTGCCGATTGGGTCACTCCAGAAATTAGATCTCAAATAATTGAAAGCAGGTTTTACCAAACCCAAAGGGACCTCAAATGTTATCCTGCTCAAACAGCTTCAGGTGTAGCAAAAAATACTGTGGTCCAGAACACTGCAGCGAGGCTGTGACCAGGTCCCGTAGGACAACTGACATCACACCCGTCCTGTCGTCTGCACTGGCTCCCCGTCAGGTTCACGATTTTAGGGTTCTTCTTTTCACATATTGAGCCATGCATAGTCAGGCACCTTTGTACATCTCTGACCTGCTCCACCTTTATATCAGCCCTAGGTCACTTAGGCTTTCTGACCAGGGTACTGGTTGTTCCTCATGCTCGACTGAAAACAAAAGGTAATCGAGCTTTTTAAGCGATGGTGCTCGTTCTGCGGAACGCTCTTCTTTTAGACATACGTTCTGCGGCCTTTAAAGAGCAGCTGAAGGCACTTATTCAAACTGGCCTTTGTCCTGCCTTGTGCTGTGTAATGTGTTTTAAGGTATTTAATTGCTAATATTTTATTGTTGTTTTTTTTTTACTGTTATATAATGTTGTTGCTTATGTTTTACTGTTGTCTCTTTATTGTTTTGATGGTCTTAATCTAATACTTTACTCTTGTAAAGCACTGTGTAAAAGGCGCAATATTATGTACTTACTACTTACTGGTTTTGTTTCAACATCTAGTCCACTGCTCACATAGACCGACTTACCCGTCTTTCTGGCTCTATAATGATGGCCTTTTCATTCTCTTCAGACACCAGCACACAGGAGGTAAAAGATGACTTGATCATGTTGATGATCAGATCATTGGAGAGAATGTCCAGCTTCTTCACCTGATCACCGGTCACATTGGTGCTGCCAGCAATACCATAACTGATAAGACATAAAAAAAAAAACCAAAACAGTGAGCGTGAAAACTGGAGTGAAAGGAATATAACTGGAAAAAAAATGCTTTCTCTGTAAACAAAACCAGATCACCTGTGTTTAAGTGTAAAACATCTAAAATTCAACTTTTGTAAAATATTAAAATACAGCAGTGAGGACCATGAGGAAATAAAACTGTGGAAAGGAAGTCATTCATGAACATTTCTATTGGATTCTGGCAGTAAAGCTGCACATAACAGACACTAAATGGGAAAGTTGTTTGTTGTAATAAATTGTATGTCTCGTGAACCACTCCATAGAGGGCGTGGTGGTTTTAGGTATGCGCTTCCTGATTGGCGCACAGACAACCTGAATCTCCTGCTTAGCAACGTGGATGCACGGGACCGAAACTTCAGTTATTGGTACTTTTACTGTGCCATTACTTTATAAACAACAGTATCTTCAACTCGGTGTGATTGTTTACTCACAGATGGGCGATCCCAGCTTTGCGCACAGCGCAGGAAATTGCCTTCACCGCCGTGCACAGCGAGTTCAGCAGCGTTGTCAGCTCTCCGGTGCCTTTCGCCTTCTTGCCCTCCTCCATAACGAACCGGGTCATGGTGACCACGTCGGTGTCGAAGGCTCCTCGTTCAGACATGGTGGCAGATGGTCCTCTGAAGCCTGAGAGTAGAAGTTGCAGGAAATGTTGCAGAACTAAAATGCTTTGCAACGCGGAACTCAGTGGAGGGAGTGAAGACATAAGGGCCAATCCAGAGCTGCAGGAGAGGTGTGGCCCCGCTGGAAACACGACCCGCTTGTACAAACACAACTAGGTTGTTATGAAATGATAATATTGCCAATAGAAGGATGTGACCAGAATAATAGACGCCGTGCATTCCTGAATTCAAGCTGTCGTTGCGCAAGACGGGCCGTGTACTTTTCAGCAGGTTTGAAAACGATAGTGTGAATGAACGGTTTCAAAATTTTACCTCTGATAGTGCATTCACATTCTTCTTGCTTTTAGATAGGTTATGTTTTTAGCTTTCAGATTTTAGGCTAGGCCCATTATGTGCAATTATTAAGGGACATCTGCTAAATAATGCAAATGTGTTTTGACCAAAAGAGTGACTCCTACCTTGTGCAAGCATTTTTAGAGGGCCCGTCCCCGTTTCAACAGGACAGTCACAGTGTCCTACTGCACAAAGCCAGGTGAAGTTTTTCCCCAGTTTGGTGTGGATGAACCCCTTCAAAGAGCCCTGACCTGATCTCAACCACATCCTGTACCTTTGGGATAAACTTGAATCACCAACACCAGTGGGAAGAAACTGTCATAGCAGCAGATTAATGCTAATGATTTTGTAATGAGATGTTTTTTTTAGGTGCCCACATACTTTTTGGCCATGTAATCCATGTATTTATTTATCCTCTTAAGTACATATAAATCAATAAAAAAAAAAGATCTGGTTTTCTCTATTGTACCTGTAGGCTTCTTACTGCTGACCTGGTTAAGTAAATAAAAAGTAAAGAAGGGAGCCTGAGCAAAACAAGGCTACAGCCTTTTTATTTTAAGTATTCAGATCTTGTACTTAAGTTAAAGCAGCCTAGTCATTTCAGTGTCTACTCTGTTCCAAGTAAAAGTCATGAATGCAAAAACATTATCAACAAAATATAGTTCTCATAGTTATAGTTATTGATGCATTAATTCATTCACTCACTTTGATGTTTCAGGTGGAGCTAATTTTAATTACCCTTCTTTATAGCCTAATGTTAGGCCAACAACAAACTACAGGGTAGCTTGTGAATTTCTCAGTAAATTAAACTTTAATATTAATAATATATAATATTAATATATTTGTTGATTATATTTTGTATTATTAATCTAAATCTGCAAAGTAACCAGTAATTTAATTTATCAAATAAATGTCGTGGAGAAAATAATTAATACAATATTTGCCTCTTAAATGTAAGTTAGTGGAGTAGAAGTACTATAAAGTAATCCTACCACAAAATGGAAATACTCAAGTAAAGCACACGTACCTCAACATTTTTTTAAACTCTGGTGCAGTACCTGAGTAAATGTACTTACTACCTTTTCACAACTGCTTGTAGTGAAGTTAAACCACAAAAACATTTTCTAGTGTTGAACTGTTGAAACAAGACGCCACTAGATGGCGGTCTTGGCCAGTCAACAACTTTTCGGCACTGACACTTTGCTCTGTCCTTAACACTGTAGCTGTGTGCCAAGAAATCCCATTAATTATTATTGTAAAGAAAACACTGTGTAGCGTTACAATTATGTAAACTTGTGGTTGTACCACATTTCAAACATTTAACAGGCTGAGTCGTCTTACAAATAGTTGAAATTAGCCCATAAAAGAAACATATTAAGAAACACTCATATTAATGCGCCTAACGAAAACTAGACCATAAGATAAGACTATCTAAGAACTATATTGTTTCGCGGAAGACAAGTTAAAAGAAATCTATGAACTGTCAGACACTTTACTAGATGCATAGCTGTACACTTCAATTAAGAATTCATACTAATGCCAGTAAATAAAATCGGTAAATCTTGCTGAGTTGCCAGATAATGTGTAAGTTAACGTTAACAGCAGTAGTTAAAGTGCTTTAGTTACACCAACAAACAGCTAACTTAGTTAACTAGCTTAAACTCGTTTTTAAGGCTGTCTAGCATTGTTACCTTCCTGAAGTAAACTGCTTTAACTTTCCACCAGGAAGGTTACAGAATAAACACTTAGCCACGTATAGGTCGGGCAGTAAAAGTAGGCCGCCCTCGCCGCAGGTAAGCTGCACCTGTAGCACTGACCGACCTTCATTATTAGCAGGGAGCGGGCTGAGCTTCTCTGGGCACCGACTGCGCATGACCGCCGGTTAACAACTTAGTGCTGAGGCGGACAAGTACAAAGAGGCTGCTGGTGGTGCGGACGGGACGTGTCGTGTGCCACAGGATACAACCTCGTAGAGTTTCACGTTGAGTTACTACCTTATCCAGACGATTTTCTCCGAGAATTTGAGTCCAAGGACAGTGAGTTGACTTAACAGCGAGGAGGAGTTTCATTCGGGTCCCAAAAGAGCTTTGGGGACACTTGGCGTCGGGTAAGTTAAACGCTTTGCAGTCGCTGGGAGATTCAGATAAATGCAAATGATGTGTTCATTTTATTATATTTATACTGCGTATGCTTTTGAGGACATGTGTGTGCGCTTATTTAAGCACGCACGAGCCTTTTAGTTAAACTCAAATCTGTCTTCGATGCATGTTCTGGGTCAGGTGGTCCTGCGGCGACCAGACAATCCCATGAAGCGCTGCTGGTTAAGCAGGATTATGTTTAAAGTCATATGGTGTTTGTTGTACCTAGTTGTGGTAATCTGGTTGCCCTCCTCCCGATCTAACAAAGCTTGTTCGCACCAGACAGGTGTCACGGACGTGTTCAGTATCTCAAGTCTGGGGTTGAACTTTGAGCTCCAAGTGGGAAATGTGGTGCGAGCATTACAGGCGGGAACGGGCAGTTTATCCATCAAGATTTAACTCCTGAACCTTTTATTACCTTTTTGTTTTTTTGGAAAGGATTTTGCTCTTAAAACAGTTTTCAGACACTGACCAGTCTCTTATGTGTTTTAGTAATCCCTTCACATTACATGACCCATACTGACTCACCTTAGGCGTGGATTTAACGGGTTGAATCAGGTTTCACCATTGACCTGCATGTCACCCCAAAGCCTCTAAAAGAATAAGTTAGTTATTTTGCAGTACAGTGCTTGACTCTTAACAAACCTGTCCTTATAGGCTGCAGAAAAGGACTGTCATCAACTTTGAAATGTTGCAGGCACAGTGTAAATGAAGCCGCTGTTGGTCGTGACTGGTATCCAGTCTCCAAACCATACATCCAGAGTTCACTCTCCCTCTACTGATTTGGCATACCACCACCTATTTTGTTACTGTCAGGGGTTAAAGCAGGCAGATGAAAGCTCTGCAAACGCTTGTGGCGGGGAGCTAAAGCATTTAAGGATCAAAGTAGTGGAGATATAGACCTGGATGGTGGTCCCTATTGTGCTGGTAATGAACTAGGATCAAATAGAGGGCTCTTCATCTTCTGCTGTGCTCTGAGGCTTCTCCACTTTTTTTCTGTAGTGACAAAGCACTGAATTGATATGTCAAGGAGAAGAATATGAGCTCTGTGACAGCAGTTTAATGAAATTCTTTGGCTTCCAGTGTGGCACTTTTGGCATATCCCTGAATCCATTTTTCTACACTTGGGTATAATAGGAATACAGATTACAAACAGTGCTTTCATCCAGGAGACCAAACAAAGCATTCCCCCAGACATTAAAGGACCAACCTCGTGTGTCTTTGGTGAACTTGGTGATCTTTTGTACAGTCACTTTGGGAAAATTTCATATTTTCAATAAGTTACTTTACAAAAATCCATTCATGAGCTGTGTACTATTGGTTCTATGACAATAGTTTAAGCTTCAATTAATTAACCTATGAAGACACATAAGTTACACTGATGCCGTCCTAATCAGACCAACACTGATTACAAAAGAATGTAACTAAATACCAATTATCTTGACCTTGGCATGTACATTTCCAGATCTGTAGGAGTCATCTTCTCACTTCCCAAAGTGCTTCAAAAGCTCTTGTAATTTTGAGTTCAGTTATAGTTCATAAAGATAGGATTCTCAGCATTACTTTTAGCTAAGTTTACCTAATGATAAACTGGCATTTGACGTATATCTGCCTTAACGAGTGGTGAACTTAAATCTTGGATGGGTCTCTTTTTCTTTTCAGCTTGCCGGGGCTTGGCAGTGGAGCCAAAAAGTTTGTTTTAGTTACACAATATACGGGTCATTATGTCTTCAAGGTGTTGTCTGTCTGTTGTGACGACGCATTTCAGAATCAATACATTTTTTATTTTTTAACCCCTCTGCAGGCAGGAAGATTTAAAACAGCCTTTTTCTGACAAGTGTTAAAATTGTAGCAGTTTCTCTTTGTTACAAGTTAATCACATAATTAAAATACTGTCAAACTGTACTGTCATACTGTAAAATTACTGTCACTTAAGCAAAGTACTTTAATAAAATATCTGCTAATTAATGCACAGTTTAGGTTAACTTACGACTTTTTGCATAAATGTACTGACGTCTCTGAGCTCAGGCTTGTTCGTACTGTAACAAGCTTAGTGTTGAATCTGTGCATTGTGCATGTCCTCCTGCAAAACACAGAGCATTCCTCAGCCTCTCACTGGGTGGAAGCACAGCCTGGCATCGGTTGGTACATCAGGCTTAGCGGAGCTCCGGGTCCACATCATCAGCCTCGTTATTCAGCCTTCGTGGACATATGGCTGAGGTCTCTCAATTAACACCTTAGTGAGACGACCCTTCTGTCCACATGATCAAAGCGGGGCCTCCGCTGCTTAGATGTGTCACCCCCAGCCTCCCACCTCCCTGTGATTATGACTCCCATCCCTCCGGTGTTTGTTTAGAGAAAATGACTTCCACTCCACTGCCCCATCTGAGCGGGTTGCACATCAAATCTGTCCCTGCTTTTCTTGCGGCTGTACAGTTTTTGTGGAATCCCTGCTGTAGTGTTTTCTCTGTAATTTTATGTTGAGGGGGTGCTAAGTTGTAATTTTAGTTTTGGCCGAACATCTGTGCATGCTTCTGTCCCATTTGTGCTTCTCTTGCATGTTTTGGTGCTTTAAAATACAGCCTTTCTGGCTGTGTAAGCTTGAAAAGATGAATTTTTCTTTACCC